CTCGTGATCCACCCGCCTCGGCCTCCCAAAGTGCTGGGATTACAGGCGTGAGCCACCGCGCCCGGCCTATATTGTTTATAAATGCATGTGGCCTTATTGACAAGGTTAAATGCGAATACTCTGTGGGATGGGCCTGGCCCAGCTCGGGGAGGGAGCCCGGCCTGAAAAGGCTGCAGCTTAGGCTGTCAGCCCGGCATCTGATCTCATCTTCTGTCACTCAGGGCCTGATGGGGTGGGGTCTTGAACGTTATCCAGTTAGGGACGCTGGGCTGGGAACCGTCCAATCAGGCACGCATCTGGAGCCGACAGCGCAGCTTCCGGGATTTGGCGGGGCCTTTGTGTCTCGCTGCCGCCGGACCTTGGCGTCTTGTCTTCACTGCTTGGCGTCCTCTGCCATAAAAGGCCCGGCTGCTGTGACCCTGTTATCTGCAAAAACTTGAAGGTTCACAGCTAAGACGCCGGGAACCCCTGAAGCCTAGAAATGGTGAGCCTGCTGGGTCCGACATCCTGAGGGGGGGAAGGGTCTGCTTGGAACCGGTGGGAAGTGGCTGTGGCGGGACTCGGGCCTCCCCGCAGTCGGCTCCAAAATCCGCGGCCCGAGTTCCCCTCGGCGGGCCCGGCCCTCAGTCCCCTTCGGACATAAGATGGCGGCTGACAGCCGGACCCCGGGCGTCCTGTCTCCTCCCTGCGCAGCGACTCTGCCCTGGCCTGGAGCCCTCTCCGGGCAGCTCTGCACCCGCAGCGCCGCATCTCTCCCCGGCTGTGCGGGGACCACGGGAGGGTCGTCCGGGGAGAATCCTGACGCGGGGTGCGGGGCTCATGAATGGGAAGAGCTTTGGTCCATGGGGTTCCCAGGCCCTTTTTTTCCTATTAAAAATTTGTGGAAGTCACTGCAAAAATTGTTAGAAGAATTTAGTCAAAGAGCAATTCAAGAATTATAGAGCACCCAGCCATGGTTTGTAGTTTGTGGTCCATGGGAGGAGCTTGAAGGAAACACTTTAATAAGATGCATAATGAAAGAAACAAGTTTAATAATTGGTTAGGTACCGTTACGTCGTTTTTAGATTTGTATAATTAAGGTGGAAATTTCCTGGTCATATAATCAGAGGTTAATTGGCAGTTTACATTTGGTTAAGCCTGAATTTTGTTTCCCTTAGTGTAATTTACACCGAACCCCTCCCCCCATCCCGACCGGCAAAATGCATTTGAGTTAGTTTAAAGTAGGAACCTAGGGACTAGAGCCATCTCAGTCTAATTGCCTCCCACTTAATTATTTTCACATCCACAGGGGAGTGATTTTCCCCTGCAGTTTTCACATGTGTCCTAAGCAGGGTCACAAGTCTACCCCCGCCATCCGCCATTCCTCCAGCCAAACTCTGGCTTGCAGCAAAATACTAAATTTCCAGTTTCTTCTGACATTGGCAAATGCCAGCTTCCCCTCCCTAATTCACATAATCAACTCTGTGTCCTTTAGTGTACATTTTCGATGCCGTATTATCATTTTTGTTAAAGCATTGGATGGCACATTTTAAAAGACTTGTTTTCTGTTTGTAAATATTTCCCATGAGTAGAAAGCAAAGAATAATCCCCTGACATTGTATTGTAAATCTCTGTGCCTCTTTTCTTTTTATCTTCCCTAGGCACAGAGATCTTATCAGAAAGTTTTTGGGTCACGGTTGGTTTCCCTTTGGAAACTTTATAGGGTGATGTGTTCTCAGCCATCTTTTAGTTTTTTTTCTCGTCCTGGGTTTCAAGTACTACCTGGGGAAAGATATCTACCATGGCAATGTCTGCTAGAGTGTCTAGTGAAGACCATCTCCTGGGTCATTTTATCTCACAGGACAAACTGAGTTATGGAATGTGACCTCTCAAGGGAGCAGGTGGATGCCCTGGGGCTGAGAGGCATCTCCTGGGCTACTCTTCCTTTGAAAAGCTTACCCCTTGAGATATTAAGGTTGTCTTCACTCAACCTGGCTTTCATTTCTTGAAGAAAGATTGCTGGTCAGCCAATCACATGCTGGTATTGGGAGGAAAACACCAAAATTATTTCTGTCCCCAGGATTCTCTAAGATTTGTGGAAAAAAAAAATAGTATCCCAAAAGACACAAAAAACCTGACCCTACTGAGATGGTACAAGAACTTGCAAAATAAGATGCACCTCGGATATAGTGCAGTGTCTTCTGAGAGGGTGGTTATTGAGCCCTTAAGTATCAGGATGGGGTGGGAGATCTTTCAAGTGATTGGGTGACCTGTCTAGATACATGAGTCTGAGAAATCTGTTTTGTTTTTTTTTTTTTGAATCTCGCTCTATTGCCCAGGCTGGAGTGAAGTGGCATGATCTCAGCTCACTGCAACCTCTGCCTCCCGGGTTTGAGCGATTCTCCTGCTGAAGCCTCCCTTGTAACTGGAATTACAGGCACACAACACCACACGTGGCCAGTTTTTTTGTGTGTGTTTTCACTATGTTGTCCAGGCTGATCTTGAACTCCTGAGCTCAGGCAGTCTACCTGCTTCAACCTCCCAAAGTCCTAGGCATGTGAGACACCACACCTACTGACAGATGTGTTTTATGATCAGCACTGCCACTTCCTGGGTTTGTCACCTTGAAAAGATTTGTTTACTTATTTTGACTTGCATTTTATTAGGGCTTGAAAGGTAAGAAATGTTTACAAAGGGCATAAAAGAGGAGAGTTTCAGGAAAAAATTAATACCTAATTACATACTCCATTTGTTAAAAATTCTTTTACCTTTTTTTTCCTCCCAGAGTGAGTTCAGGAATTTTGTCACTTCGTTTTTTTTTTTTTTTTTTTTGGTGTTTTTTTTTTTTTTTTTTTTTTTTTTTTTTGAGATGGTGTCATGCTTTGTCACCCAGGCTGGAGTACAGTGGCCGGATCTCGGCTTATTGCTAACTCTGCCTCCCGGGTTCAAGTGGTTCTCCTGCCTCAGCCTCTTGAGTAGTTGGGATTATTGGCACGTCCCACCACATCTGGCTAATTTTTTATTTTTAGTAGAGGTGGGGTTTCACCAAGTTAGTCAGGTTGGTAACTCCTGACCTTGTGATCTGCCTGTCTAGGCCTCCCAAAGTGCTGGGATTACAGGGGTGAGCCACCGAGGCCGGCCTTGGGCTTTCTTTCATAGGGAGGAGCGAACAAGTTTATAAAGAAGGTGGGAGGGGAACAGTAAATGGAGGGAATCAGACTTTAGGGGGCCACAGTGGCTCACACCTGTAATCCCAGCACTTTGGGAGACAGGCAGACGGATCACCTAAGGTCAGGAATTTGAGACCAGCCTGGCCAACATAGTGAAACCCCATCTCTACTAAAAGTACAAAAATTAGCTGGGTGTGGTGGCAGGTGACTGTAATCCTAGCTACTAGGGAGACTGAGGCAGGAGAAACGCTTGAACCTGGGAGATAGATGGAGGTTGCAGTGAATTGAGTGTCACTGCTCTCCAGCGTGGGTGACAAAGTGAGAGACTGTCTCAAAAAAAAAAAAAAAAATCAGATTTTAGATGAGAGAATGTTTTACCCTGAAGTTGGTATGTTCTTAGGAGGGGTATAAGATGGGGTTGTATGTTGCCTCAGACTGAAGGAAGCTCAAAGTGCAGGAGTCTGTGGGAAGGTGATAAACTTAAGTTTGATTAAAAAGTATTTTGTTTTTGACCACTGAAGCCAAATTCAGCTGACTTTTTAATGAGAAAAAATGTTCAGTCTGTATCTGGCTATGCGATAGGTAAGAAAAGAGAGCACTGTCTAAGTCATAATGGGAAGGGTGTTTCTTTCCATAAACTGTTCCTGGAGAACACAAAGGATGGAGGATTTTATTAATCACAGCTATTTACCAGGATTATCTTTGTGCTTCATTTTTTCCCACATATTTTTTCTGTCCTATACATTTTTTCTACTTGACTTTTCCTGGGTTGTATCATTTATAATAAACTGGTCAATGTTAAGTACAGTGTTTTGCTGAGGTCTGTGAGCAGCTCTATCAAATTACTGAACTGGAGGGAGGTTATGGGAATCCCCATTTTTTAAGCAGTAGCTTAGTGGCTGAGATCTGCAGTGAGGACAGTGTTGTGGGACTGTGCCCTGAATCAGGATGCTTGCTGACTCTGGATGGTGTCAGAATACAAACACTAGAAAGTGAGTTGGTGTTGGAGAATTGCTTGGTGTTCACCAATCTACAGATTTGGGGCCAGAAGAAAGATACCACAGAGGCCTGGCCTGGAATGGAACTCTGGGTGTCTGGGAATGGGAGGCTCTGCTCTCCTGTGCACAGGCTGTAACACTGCCCATTGTCTCAGGATTCCAGGTCTCCTGCTATGGTGAGAGAGGACTGAAAATGCAGAGGAAAGAAGCTCTGATAACAGACACCCTTTTCCCGTAGGTGCCACCACATGATTCCCACCCACTCACAAACATAACCACTAGACACTGATGTGTCCACACCCCTCCCGGGACTAGGCACCACCCTCAGGAATTTCACCGCAGCATTTTTGAACCTATTATTTCTTGCCTGCAAAAGTTTCTACACATCTCTTCATATATCCCCCCTCTCAGACACTGAATCTGCAGCAGCAACCTGCTTTCTTCACCAACCTAGGGCTCTACACCACCTGTTCATAATATCATCTGCCTGCATGGCCATGAATAAATCAAAGGACAGCCCCCACCTGGACCACTATCTGTAGCACAAACCTGTCCTACCTACATTGCACTCTCCCCTACCCATGGATCTTTTTTAACTTTTATTTTTGGTTCAGGGGTACACATACAGGATTGTTATATAGGTAAAATAGTGTCATGGGGGTTTGGTGTAGATTATTTTGTCTCTGAGGTACTAAGCATAGAACCTAATGGGTATTTTTTTCCCTGATCTTTGTCCTCCCACACGCTACCCTCAACTAGGCCTCAGTGTCTGTTGTTCCTCTTTGTCTCCATGTGTTGTTATTATTTAGCTCTTACTTACAAATGACAGCATGCATTTGGTTTTCTGTTTCTGCATTAGTTTCTAAGGAGAATGGTCTCTAGCTCCCATCCATGTTGCTGCAAAGAAAATGATCTTGTTCTTGTTTTTTGAGACGGAGTTTCGCTGTTGTTACCCAGGCTGGGGCGCAATGGCGCGATCTCG